TTTTTGGTTAAATAATTAATATTTATCATTCTCTTTCTAAAGTATTGCTTGTTTAGTATTTCCATGATATGATTATCTATTTTTGTTAGTTTATCATAAAGTTCACATTTTTCTTCATCATTTAGGTTTATCCTTTTAGAAATTTCATTTATCTTTTTCTCATAGTGGTATTTCCTATGGTAAATACTCTTTTTTCTATAATGTAACCTATCCAAATCTTTTACATCAAATAATCCTAATACATGACCGTTTTCTGTACCACATTCATCACAAATTTTGTACCTAGAATCTATTGTAAAAAATTCAGTATTTGAACAATTTGAGCAACCCCTTATAGGGGAACCTACAGTTCCCCCTATAACCCCCTCCCTTTCGACTTTATATTTATGTAGTATACCCAGATATTTTTTTATTTCTTCTTCTGTATATGACATTTATTATTTATACTTTATTTACTTTTAAATTTTTTTTTATCTAAAAGCTTTAAAAGTATATTTATTTCCATCTTTTTTTGATGTTGCTGTTTTAAAATATTTTCTTTTACTGCAAATTGAAGAAATATTTGCAGCATTAATTTCTAAATTAATAGAAGCTAATTTTATTGATAAATAAATTTTCTTTTCGTTATTTTCAATGTTAATACAAATAATTTTTTTACCTTTTGATAATTCTACATTTTTCTGATGAGTTACCATTTCAAGATTTTTTATTCGATTATCTATTTTATTTTCATTTTTATAATGTATTTCAAAACCTTCTGGAATAAAACTTTTATTGATTCATAAACAAATCTATGGCAACTATAATTTCTTGATTTTTCTAAGTTTTTACTGTAAACTCTAAAATAATGGTAGCCTCTATTAGATAAATATTTTTTTAAATTTTTTCTAGTTTTAACATTTATAATTTTTCCATCTTTTGATGCAGCATAATTACTAAAAGCAGGATGAATATAATACTTTTCTTCGAGAATAATAATTCTTTGATTTAGCATCTTAGTATTAATTTATTATTTAACTTTTAAATCTATTTTTTTTTATCTAAGAGCCAACGTATTCACTTTTCCCAAGACAACTTCGCATTTATCATCTTCATTACTAAGTGCTATTTTGTTAACTTCTTTTGAATATATATATCATGATTTTCACTTCTTATTATCTTCATAGATCTCATTTGTTTTTCACCTGAAATTAAACATTTAACATAGTCATCAAAATCTATTTTCTTTTTTACAACATTTTTCTTTATTCCTTTACATTTACGTACTTCTTTATCCTCTTCAATTTTAAAACTATAAAGTTTGGGACGCAATCCAACAAAATGTGTTATCTGTTTTCCTGCAACTTCATCTTTAAACATTCCAATAACTTTTTATTAGCTCCTGTTGGTATTCCAGATGGATGATTAGGAGGATAATCAGATGTGTCAAACTTGGTTAAAATATCAGGACTTATATCTTTATAAAAATCTTTTGTTTTAATTTGATACAACAATGAATCCGTATCTGTAAACAATAATTCTGCATTGTTTCCATATTTCTCTTTAATATATGTGTAATGAAAATTGAACATCAGTGTTTTTGATAAATCTAGAATTGCTTGACCAACATACACTGGTTTGTTAAAATACACTTCTGTACGCTTCATATGAACTGCTATAAGATTTTTATCAAATATTGTTACTCTGTCAAAGTTGGGTTTACTTGTTAGCTTGACAGCTTTTTTACGATCATCAACAAGTTCTATATTTTGTCTCTTCCTTATGTTTTCAATTGTTTTTCCAAACACTGAATTATTCATAAGTTTAAAAAAGTCTTTCTCAAAACTGTTAGCTGCTACTTTTCGAAGTTCTGTATTTTTTCTTATATATGGTTCCATCCAAGAAGACTGATAAAATGATATTCCTCTATGAACAGCAGTTATTCTCATACCCAACTCAAGATATTGTCTAAGATTTCGATAATGCACAACATAGTTTTTTCTGGGTTTAAAATGACATATAAGTTTTTCAACACCATTAACAATCATCTTCTCAGGTGCAAGAGGATAGTCATTATGTGTTTCCCATAGGTGAGGTGGATACTCTAAATCAACTTCAAATATATAACCTTTACTCCCAAGATTTGACATACTATGATTTGCTTTCTCAAGAATATCCATTACCTTTTCTTTTGTTATATTTTTCATCCATTTAAATCCATGTGTTGGAAGATTTTGAGACATCGCCCAACCATAAAGATTGTTTGCATCGAGATATTGAATAAATGTTGACTCCTTTCCAGGATTATATTCTTTCATGTATTTATTATTTGCTTCTGCATATCGTTTTGATATATGTGTTATTCCACCACGTATACCACGTTCAAACATCATTAACATATCATAATCATGTAGTAACTGTAATTGTTGACCTGTAGTTTTAAGACACGCATCCCAAGCTAGACCTGGTGATGTGTAATAGTGAACTGGATCTAGTTTGTAATGTTTGAGACAAGTTTTCCTAAAGTTTTCAAATACATCTGTTAGAAGTAATACATCAGATTTCAGATAAAGATTGTGATAATCTCTTATTGTTTTACAATCAAAAGTATTCCAAACACGAATAGCGTGTTGGTAATCATCATCACTAATATCTTCATCATAAAGTTGTGAGTAAAATTCCTCTTTGGGTGGAAGTTGTGTTTCTGATAATTTATCAAGTGATGAAACATAATCATAAGGATAAACTCCCTTACGAGTTAGTAGATCTA